TTATTTAGTTGCTATCGTTTGGTTTTAAGAAGGCCTCAGGTATATCGGTGTAAGGTTTAACGATTCTCTCAGGGCAACGTTTTTAGGGTTTCATCCACCCTCCAAGGCTCCAGCAAGTCTGGAATCTGGGAGAATTTAAAAATTCTGTTTTTCATTTCTCCCTTTAAGAGTCTTCTATGGAATCGATAATAAAAATATTCAGTCATGGTAGCGGGGCACCATCCCACCCCTTCTTCTAGTCTGACGGCAAAGGAGGTTGTTTATGGGGGTAATTAGGTACAGTTTCCCTACCTCCTCCTCTTCCTGACTCCTTTCTCTATTGCTCCTGGTAAACAGAGAAACAATTGTTGTGCCTTAGATGGTGGTCTTCAAGTGTGTAAGGCCCCAGGCACTATGCAACGGACCAGTAGAACACAAGCATGAGGGATAGTACACACATCATGAAGGTCCTTCACTGTGATGTCCATGAAAACATCACCCTAAATCTCCAAACCCAGGTGCCAAATCCCGTGAGGCTCAGCAGCCACACGACTCTTTGTTCCTGTTCAGTCTCAGGTTTGGGGCTCTTTGTTGGAAGTCTATCTAGCCTACAACTTTAGTCAATTCAACTTTCTGTAGGTCTGTAACTTACTGTCAGCAATTACAATTGGGGCTTTGCAAGTCTTCCCTTAATCAATGTGATTTCTCCATCACAGTGAAATACCCCATCCCCTCCCACTGCCCACTCCTGCTAATTATGATTCAACTCTGGTTTCTACCTATTTGTTTTTCCTTATCTGTTATTCAGATGGACTTATTTCACGGAACATAACGTCTTCAAGTCCCATCCGCACTGTACCGCTCTCAACACTTCATTTCTGTTGCTGGCAGAGTAGTCTTCCGTGGTCTGCACATCTGCACCACATGCTGTCTACCCACTCTTCTGCTGATGGGCACTTAGGTTGTTTCCACCCTTTGACTATTGTAAACAGGCTGCAGTGAACATTGGTGGGTCCACCTCTCTCCAAGTCTCTGCTTTCGAGTCTTTCGGGTAACTATGTAGGAGTGGAATTGCTGGGTCACATCATGTTTTCAAGCAAGGCCAGTCCCTGGGAAAGTCCCCTGGGCATCAGTGAAAAAGAAGAAGCCTCTCAGTGAGAGGAACGGACACAGTGGCTACAACAAGGGTCTCAAACAGAACAATGGTGAGGGTGGGGCCGGGCGGGGCAGTGTTTGTTCTGGTGCACACAGGCTTGCTGTGAGCTGCAATGGAATCAGAGGCACCGAGCAACAATAGTAATTCGACTTTCAGCTTGTGTGTGTGGAACGACCGCACTGTCTCCAACCCCCGCCAGGCTGTTTTGCATTCGCACCAGCGGTCAGTCAGGGCTCCATCTTTTTAAAAAAATGTAAATTATATTATTATGATTATTTTCTGTTTTTTTTAAAAAATCCTAGCTAGCCTATTGGGAGTCAACTAGTGATTTTGATTTGCGGCTCTTTTATAGCTAACGATACCGAGCGTCTTGTCCTGTGTTTGGTGGTCAGGCAGATGCCCTCTTTGATGGCATGTCTATTCAAGTCCTTTACCCTTTTCATGATGGGATCACTTGGCTTTTCGTTGCTTAATTGTCAAAGTTTTACATACGCTTTGGTTACTAGATTCTTGTGGAACATAGTCCTGAAGATCTTCTCCCAGTTGGTAGCTTGTTTTCCCCCCTTTTTTGGGTGGTGGTGGTGGCAGCCATGTCTTTGGATGAACAGCAGTTTTGAAGTTTCATGATGTGCCATCTATCTAGCTGTCTGTCTAATATTTTGGTGTTTGCACCTTCGTTATCATATTAGATGATTCAATGGTGAAAGCTAAGCCTGGCCAACAGCGTTGCCTCTCCATTTCCTTCTAAGAATGCTATGGTTTGAGTGAGCCCATTGTAGCAGCCACTGTGCCAGCCCATCTCATTGAGGGTCTTCTTTTTCTCTGACCTGCACTTTACCCAGCATGACGTCCTTTTCCAGGGACTGGGCTCTCACTAAAATATGTTGCAAGTAGCTTGGAAAAGAATCTCACCATCCTCACTTCTAAGGAGCGTTCTGGCTGTACTTCTTCCAAGACAGATTGGCTTGTTCTTCTGAAGTCCATGATACTTGGAGTATTTTTCACTGGCATCGAAGTTCAAACTCATGGATCCTTCTGCAGTCTTCCTTATTCATTGCCCGCATTGATATGCAGATGAGGCCATTGAAAATATCAGACTTTGGACCAGGCACGTTTTAGGCCTCAGATGGACGTCTTTGCTCTTGCACTTTAAAGAGGTCTTGTGCAGAAGATTTGCCCAATCCATTATGTCATTTGATTTCTTGACTGCTGCTTCCAGAAGCATTAATCGTGGATCCAAGTAAAATGAAATCCTTAGCAACTTCAATCTTTTCTGTTTATCGTGGTCCAGTTATGAAGAGTTTTGTCTTCTTTACACTGAGTTGCAATCCATAACGAAGGCTGTCATTTTTGATCTTCATCAACAAGACCCTCAAATCCTCTGTTCTTCAACAAGTAAGGGTGTGTCACCTGCAGATCACACGTTGTTAGTGAGACTTCCTCTAACCTTGATGCTGTTTGTCTTCATCCAGTCTAGCTTCTTGAGTTCTTTCCTCAGCATTCAGATTGAATACATTTGGTGAAAAGATACTATTTTGCCACACACCCTTCTTGATTTTAAACCGTGCAGTATTCCCTTGTTCTGTTTGAACAAAGGTTCAGGTTCAGCATGAGCACCAGGAAGTGTTTTAGAATTCCCATTCTTCTCAATGTTATCCATAGTTTGCTGTCAAGTGCATTTACATAATCAATAAAACACAAGTAAACATCTCTGATTTGTCCAGGAGCAAAGTTCTGAGTCTCTTTTGATATCCACCTTGGACTTTTTTTTTTCTTCCCTGCATTTTGAACGATCTTTTGCTTTCTTTGCGTATGATGCTCTTGGTGTCATTCTGTCATTAGGGTGTAGGGTATCACATCTGGCGTTGGAATGTCCTCTCATTTCAGGTGGGACCTACGCAAAGCAAGGTCATATTTTGGCTTTTGTGGACTTGTTTAAGTTTTCTTCTGTTTCAAGTTCAACTTACACACGAGCAAATGATTGTTCCGTAGTTGGTCCTAGCTTTGTTTTGGATGATATTGAGCATTTCCATGATCTTTTTTCAGGTCAGTGTCAGACTGAAGACATTTTCAGAATCGCTCCACTTCTTCACCACTATCTTTAGTGGTAGATGTGTAAATTTGAATAGTAGCTGTACTAACTGTATTTTCTTGTAAGTGTATAGATAGTATCCTGTCACAGATAGCATTGTACTTCAAGATTGATCTTGAAATGCCCCTCTTATGGATGAACATGATGCCCTTCCTTTTGAACTTGTTATTCCAGGCTCAGTAAGCCAAATGATTGACTCAAGATAGCCAATACCTATCCATTTCAACTCACTAATGCCAAGGATGCCCCCCTATAAGTGTTCCAGTTAATTTTAGACAACTCACAATTTCCCTAGATTCATACTCTGTGCATTCCATGTTCTATTATTAGTGGACAGTGACAGCTTCCTCTCAATTCTGGGCTGTTCCCCATCAGCAAATGAAGGACTCAGAAGCTCTGCTTCATGCATGTCATTAAAATCGGCTCTACGTTGAGGAGGCAGCTCTTCCGCAGGTGTATTCTGAGTGACTTTCAGCGTGAGGGGCTCACCTTTCGGCACTGTATCAGACAATAGTCTCCTACTGTTCTTGATAAACTATCCAGTGGCTGATTCTCGGAAGTGGGCAGCCTACTCCCTCTTCCTAGTTTGTCCTTACTCTGGAAGCGCTGCTGAACCCTGGTGACCATGGCTGACCCTGTTGGTATTTGACATAGCCGTGGCACCCCTTCTAGCATCATAGCATCATATAAGGCACCAACAGCATGACAAACTGACAGATGAGTGGTGGCAGATGACCATAGATAGGCTTATTGCTTGATTGTCAATGCTATTCCATTGGGATATGTGTCTGTTGTCATTCCAGTACTCGGCTGTTTTAACTACTCTAGCTGTGTATGCAAAAACCACACTGCCATCAAGCTGATGTCCACGCATCACCACCCTAGAGTGAGTTTCTGACACCGTAACTCTTTACTGGAGTAGAAAGCCTCATCCTTCTCTCTTGGAGGAGATGGTGGTTTAGAACTGCTGAGCTTGTGGATCCCAGCCCAACTTGTAACCAGTATGCCACCAGGGCGGTATAGTATGTTTTGAAATCAGCAAGTGTGAGTTCCCCTACTGTGCTCTTCTCTTTCAAAATGGTTTTAGCCATCCAGAGCTCTTGCCATGCCACATAAAGTTGAGGATTGGTTTCTCTATTTCTGTAAAGAAGGCTGTTGGACTTTTGATTGAGATTGTGGTGAACCTATAGATCGCTTTGGATAGTATTGACCTCTTAGCCCTATTAAGCCTTTCAATCTATGAACCTGGATCATCTTTCCATTTACGTTTCCTTCAATCTATTTCAGCATAGTCTGTAGTTGTCATTATTGAAGTCCTTCACGTCTCTGATTAGATTTATTGCTAGGTATTTCATTCCCTTAGATGCTACTGTCAATACAATTATTTCCCAGATTTCACTATGAGATTTCTCATCGCTGGGATATAGAAACCCAACTGATTGTGTTGTTGGTGACCTTGTATCCTGCGATGTTGCTAAATTGCTCGAATGACTCTAGAACTTTACTTGGTGACTCTTTGTGGGTTTATAGCAGGTTCGTAAGCAGGGAGAAAAGAGGTGAAGTTCTGCGGGAGGAACTTCACCCGACTGGATATGCTGGGTGTGCTGGAATGAAGACCCCTTGCTCCCCCATTGCATCCCCTTGGAAGCCAAGTCTCCATCCTGTCAACCAGGAGAAGGCTTGAGCCTGGCACTGATGTCTTCTTTTTCCCACAGGCTCCTGGCCTTGGCTGGCACAGAGGTGCAGGGCTGGTGGTATCAAGTGACCAGGTGGATGTACCCCCAAGAGAATTCCTTCCAGCCCTTGCAGTTCCTACTGCTGGTGGGGGTCCCAGTGGCAAGTGTCCTCCTCCTGGCCCAGTGCCTCCGATGGCACTGTCCTCGCCGGCTGCTGGGAACGTGCCAGAAGCCAGGTGCAGAAGAAGATGCTGTGTGCCAGCCCACTCCCTTACCCGAAAATGAGACCTCAAGCCCATGCCCGCCAGTGACCCTGTCAGAGATGGCTGCCTTCTACCAGGAACTGAACACGCCCACCCAAGGCCACACAGTCACTCGCCAGCTGATGAATAAACTCCTGCTCTTCTCCGTTCGAGAGGTGGATCACCGTGGTGGCTGCCTGATACTCCAAGATACTGGCATCTCCTTGCTCATCCCACCAGGTAAGAGCCACTTTCTCGATGGGGCCCTCCACCCTCCGATGCAGTGCACACCTGTTCGGATGATGCTTTTCACAAAGGCACCGCACCTAAGGGAGCATCACTCAGAAGCAGCTTCATAATGTTGAATTTTAGGATCACTTCATTGACTCTAGTCAAGCTATGATGCTATTGACTCCAAAGAAGGCGGGGCCTATTCCACCTGCTTTGTGATGGCTTCCTGGCACATGGAAGTCAGCGGAAGGCCGAGTTCTGACAAAATCATAATGGCAATTGCCTAGTCAATGTAATAAAGAGTACAATGTAGCAAATTCACAAAGTGCATTGCAGGACTTGAGGGGCAGCCTTTCCAGGAGGCAGGGACACCACAAGTCAGTTCATAGTCATCTTGCTCCTGTTCCATATTGTCTCCCCGTGTCCCCTGCTGACAACACTCTCTTAGGCTCCTGTCCACGCTCCCTCCCACCCTGCATCCTCCTGCAAGGGGTGGACTATCTTGGCAAACGCCTTCCAGCTCTCTGTTTCCCCAGGTGCTGTGCCCATGGGCCGCCAGGAGCGAGTGTCTCTGGTCCTGGTGTGGGATCTGTCAGATGCTCCATCGCTATCCAAGAACCAGGGGCTGGTGAGCCCTGTGGTGGCCTGTGGGCCCCACGGGGCCACCTTCCTGAAGCCGTGTACCCTTACATTCAAGCACTGTGCCCAGCAGCCCAGCCAGGCCCGCACCTACAGCAGCAACACAAGCCTGCTGGATGTCAAGGCCTGGAGGGCTCTGGGGCGGCCAGGGGCCTACACCTCCCGAGATGAATGTCGAATCCCCCTCTCGCACTTCAGGTAGGTCCCTGCCTTTGGCTTATCTCCCTGTCCCGATCCCTCTGGTGTGGTCTCCCCTGTTCCTTTTCTGCCTGCCTGCTCCGACCTCATTGTGTTCCACGGCAATGCTACTTTATCAGATGGGATGGTTTACCAGTCCTTTGTGCCCATGTGCCTCTCTCCTGTCCCTCTACCCAGGGCTGTGTATCTCCCATCGGTAGCTCCACTTGTCCAGGAGTGTCTGGCTCAGCCTGCGTTCCTTCTAACCACACTCCATCCTGTGTCTGCCCTCCATCTCGTTGTGCTTCTAGGACCTTCTGTCTCCCAGACTTCTTGCCAGCCCATTGATGAGACCAGGGCCACGAGTGGCATTAATCTCAAGTGCGGCAACTCTGCCCCCATCTCCCACCTTCCCTGGCTGACAGTACTCACTGACTCCCCATCCCACTTGATGATGACTCATCTTCCCCTTAGACCACCCCCACCCCACCTTCTCTTTACTCACTGGGGTTGCTCTCCTCATCTCCCTGGACACCCCCCCCC